CCGCACAGCAGCTAGTAGTCTAGGCAGATAGCAAGACAACGAGCACGCGGCTCAATGGTAAGAGCGTTAGACTTCTGATCAAAAGGTAGCAGGTTCGGGCCTTGGGTATGGCACCACTTGGGGTTCGGAATGACTGGCTGACGGATAATGAGCCAGAAAAGGCCATTTAGTCTTCCTGGTCTTTGCCGGCAATCCTATTTGCCTACACAACTAGCCGCTGTGCGGCTGGTGGTGCATCTCGAGAATGAGCCCCAAGGCAGAGCGGACGAGTGAGTTCCGTTAGCGATCGGTGAACGGTAACTGACGAGCGCCAATAAGAGAATTGTAACTTCCGAATAATCGGATGTGGGGCATTCAGAAATGTGAGACAAGCAAAAAAATTTGGCGACTACACGCACCTGTTCTTCTTCCTGAGGTGTGAAATCACACTTAATATTGAAAATTTTCCGCAACTCCTCTGGTGATTTTCCCTTGATCATATTGGCGACTGATTTGCAGCAGACATCCAGGAGGCCTTTGATTTCCAGGTAATTTGCAGCCAAGATCAGCTCGAAGAGAGTACCTTGGTCAACCCGGAGGAACTCCTGGTCCCAGCTGGAAATGTCATCAGTCCTGCGCTCCTTGTTTTCATCATCCTCCTGCTGAGGAGGGTCGTCCTTGTGGTAGGTGCACCATTGCAGTACCTTCTGAAGAATGGCTGCAGTGACATTTGGCAACGGCACGGGTTCCTCATCTTCTTCAGCGTCCACGCCCAAAGCTGCACACACAATAAAAATGCATTCAGTTAATCGATCGATTAAATTAGGTAGCAGACAGGGAACAGATATGGTAAACTTTTCGAGCCCAATGAACCCTTTTAACAGGGATAAAAATAGAAAAGTAAAGCAAAAAGTAGTAAACTGAGGTGAAAATTGAGTGCTTAGTTAAAATATCATTTAGAGAAGTTTTCGAGGGTCACAACGAGTATTAGTGTTTTCTTGACTGACTAGGTCCTGCTTGGTTTTGTGCTGATTTATATCTGCGTACACACTAAGGAATGAAAACTTGGATGGCTTAATAATGGGCAGGCTCTAAAAATTATTAATTACGTTGCGTTACATCCTGCGTGCATACGAGTGGCTAACGAAAACAAATCACGAGAAAGACCACGTAGGACACTGTGGCCAACCTACTCTTATTTATATTAGAGAACATAAATTACGGCAGCCCAAAGATCCCACAAACGCTGACCTGTCACGTGGAGTACCCTATGGAAGCACGTGGGAAACGATAAAAGTTTGCTCAAAAATCAAATACAGTGTACGAACATTAAAGCGAGATGCTGCACTCATAAAATAAACCACATATAATGACTGCCGAATCATTGGACGCACATGCTGACTGGATTCTAGCACAAAGGACAAAAGTACCCCGCCAACGGCCTCACGAATAAGCTGACGTCAGGCGTTTAACACTCAGGTATAAAATGGTACTATTTTGTCCTCGACAGAGAGGAGAGAACACAACCGTAACATAGGATTTTTCAGGACCGCTAGCTAAAGTCACCTCAAGAAAGCTTACGAGAAAATCAGAATGCTGTCGAGTAGCCAAGCATTTACCATCGCAAGACCGGACCGTCACTTAAGCTATCGGCCAAAACAATGGAAGAAAAACCTGGAAGACGCAAAATTCGAGATATTTGGCTAAAAATAGCACATCAAGCCTTCTGATTACGCATCTGGTACACAAAGTTTGATCTTTAAAGTACTAAATTAGGGGGTGGATATTGAACGAAAGGCGCGTATTTTGCAATCCTGAAGTTTACTCACAGTTTAAGGTTCGTAAATGCCATAAGGCGCCAGGTGAGATGAAGCTTGCGCACTGGAAAGATGGGAAAAGTTAAATAGGAAGTCTATTCAAGGCGGTTAAGTGGACCTAGTCCAAAGTCCATGTGCCATGTTCGACTGCCAGTGACTAGAACTCCTGCGACCAGTTACGCAATGCAAGCGCGGGTTAATTTGAAAATCCATAACCGGCTCTTAATAGGTTTCCCACAAGATCACGTAAGTGTATGAGTATAATGCTTATTGTCATAAATCTGCCTGCAATCTCGACCAGCCACATCCAATTTTAGGCGAAAGGACAAAAGCAAAGGCAAGATGGTGTACGATACCGGGGCTACGATTGATAAACAATTAGAGGCAAAGTCTATATCCGTGCCACTTGGGAAATTTTCGGAGTCGTGGAAACGAACCTACGAATGCTAGTTATAAGCCTCTTATATTAAACGTAAATAACTGATTGTAGTCTCCTACACATGGCCCGTGTGA